TTGGTCGGCCCTCTGATTGGTCCTGTATGCTGCGCCACACAGCATTTGGGATCACCTTCGTCCTCTGCATCTCCTGTGTTCTGGGGAAAACAATAGTGGTGTTAATGGCCTTCAGAGCTACACTTCCAGGCAGTAATGCCATGAAATGGTTTGGGCCTCCACAGCAGAGACTCAGTGTTCTCACCTTCACTCTCATACAGGTCCTAATTTGTGTTCTTTGGTTGACAATATCTCCTCCTCTCCCGTTCAAAAATCTAAATCACTACAAAGAAAGAATAATCCTGGAATGTGGATTAGGTTCAGCTGTAGGTTTCTGGGCTGTGCTGGGTTATATAGGATTTCTGGCTCTTTTGTGTTTTATTTTGGCTTTTCTAGCACGGAAGCTGCCTGATAACTTTAATGAAGCCAAGTTCATCACATTCAGCATGCTCATATTCTGTGCAGTGTGGGTTACCTTTATCCCAGCTTATGTCAGCTCTCCTGGAAAGTTCACTGTAGCTGTAGAGATATTTGCTATTCTGGCCTCAAGCTTTGGTTTGATTATTTGTATTTTTGCTCCCAAATGTTTCATAATCATTTTTAGGCCAGAGCAAAATACCAAGAAAAACCTTTTGGGAAAAGGATCCACCAAGGCCCTTTGAGACCCTCACAGAAATTGTAACTGTAGCACTGTTTAGCACCGTATATAAATGTGCTGAATTCTTTTTATTTTTTTTTAATTAAATAATGTTTTACATTTTAATGTGTAAATATAGTAGCATGATCAAGAAAGATTCTGCATTCAGGGCTTTTTTTACTCCAGATTTTATTTTCTGAATTTATTCTGACATTGACTCTTATTTTTAATCACAGGGCTAGTATTTATTCACTGTCTTTAAGCATTACATCTAGAAGAACTGTGTCAGTCGAGAGCTGGAAGGCTTAGAGCAAACATGAGCTGAAGTAGAGCTAACCGTTGACCTAAAGCCTTTTTTTTCTTTACTGCATAGCTGTGACTGAACACAGTCATTAATAAACAAAGAACACAATATATGCATGAGCTTTGTCTCTTGTAATATCAGTAAACGCTACATGTAGTGTCAGAATAAGAAAGATACTGTCTCAACAGGAGAGGTTCAGAGTATTCGGCTGTTAGCATCTTAGCTAAACTACATGGCTTACGGAGGATGAGAGATTACATTTGTGTAACAGTTACAGTGGCCCAGCCAGAAGTGGTGCATGCTAGGTTCAAGCTGAAAGGCACAATGCTTCATCTTCACATTGTAATAATGGTTGATGCTGACAGTCAGGGGCAGGAAGGGCATTTAGTCTGGATAGCTGAAGTCCAAGACATGCATTCTAGGCCTAGACTTTTAAAGAGCAACAGGTGCCAAATGGACCTAAAGAGTACGATGCTGCGTTTCAGAGGTGACGATGACAATGAATCCACATAATACTCAGTGCATAGTGCAACACACAGCTTCAGAACTGGATGGAGCATCTCCGAGGGCAGAGTGTGCTGTCAGGTCAAGCACAGCATGGCTTTTCATGGGCGGCAAACACAATCAGTAACCCTGCCAGCATTGACAACATAGCAAACATTGAAGAAAGCATGCCTCGTGGTAGTCTCTCTGCTCCAGTGCAGCGAGAAGATGCCAAACAGTTGGTGTTTTCCAGCACCACTCAGTGCAGATTCCCCAGCCAGGGGAGTCCCCAATCCTAGTACACCCTAGACACTTAAAAACGATGGTTCTTCGAGTGTTCTTTAGTAAAAACATGGCTCTGTATAGATCCATGAACACTCAAAGAACCCTTAGCACGATTAAATGGGTCTCTGCATTGTGAAAGCGTTCTGCAAATTAATGGAGAATGTGCTCTAGATTGTTCTACCTTTTTGAAAAAGGTTCTACATAGCACCAAAAAGGGTTTTTTCTGTAGTAAAGAGCCCTTGAAAAATCATCCTTTTCAAGAGTGCGGTAGAAGAGGGTGGCCCCCAGTTTGATTCATAGACTTTATAGTCCTCAGTGGCCGAGGAATTTTGGTAAGGGTAAGGTGGTGTAGCTTGTTCAAGAAAAGTTCTGCATGTTTATTTTGGATACTGTTCTCCAGCAGAAATTCTCCAGGTTTATTCTGACAAAGACTCTGATTGTGAAGGCGGGTATAGTTTTTATTCACTATGTTTATGCATGAGAACAGCAAGAATGCTGGGAAAGTTAAGAAATGGAAGTGTGAGTTTGCAGACAGGAGCTGATTGGAGAGCTAGCTGTTAGCCTAAGGCTAAGGCTCATGGTATGCACGCACCCTCCCAAGGAACTATTTATGTTGTTTAATATTGATTGTTAGTTTAGGCGGCTTGTGTTGTTTAGTGTCAGGGGCTTTGTGTTTTGTGTGAGAGGGGGGGTCATTGGCAGCGTGAAGTGTGTGGCTAGTGGTGACTCACTGTTCTGTATGTGCCTTTCTGCAAGCATGTTTAATAAAAGAGTACTTTTCATAGCAGAAGTAATGCCTCTCGTTTCTTATTCTCTGCTAATGTCACAACATGTATATGAACGTTTTTCACATGCACCACTGAAATGATAATAATAGACAATAATGTATAATGTTGAATTAAACTACATTGTTCATAAAATGCTTTTAGCACTTTTACAACCCTGTTTCCAGAAACGTTGGTACGCTGTGCAGAATGTAAATAAAAATAGTATGTAATGATATGCAAATCATTTAAACCATATTTTTAAAGGGAAATACTACAAAAAACAACATATTAAATGTCGAAACTGAGAAATTTGATTATTTTTTGAAAAATATATGCCCATTATGACTTTGATGCTGACAACACGTTTCAAAAAAGTTGGGACGGGGGCATGTTTATCACTGTGTTTCATCATCTCTTCTTTTAACAACACTCTGTAAGCATTCGGGAACTAATGAGACAAGTTGCTGTAGTTTTAAAAGTGAAATGTTTTCCTATTCTTGTTTGATAGAAGATTGCAGCTTCTCAACAGTTTGGGGTCACCTTTGTCATATTTTTTGTTTCAGAATGAGCCAAAAGTTTTCAGTGGATGACAGGTCTGGACTGCAGGCAGGTCAGTTTAGCACCTGGACTCTTTTAATACAGAGCTATGCTGTTGTAATACATGCAGAATGCGTTTCTTGCTAAGGCCTTCCCTTAAAAAGATGTCATCTGGATGGCAGCATATCTTGCCAAAACATGTACATATCATTCAGCATTAATGGCACCTTCACAGATGTGCATGTCACCTATGCCATGTGCAGTAATGCACCTCTATACCATCATGAATACTGGCTTTTGAACTGCACTGATAACTAGCTGAGTAGTCTTTAGGCTGGCGGACACAACGTCCATGAATTCCAAAACAAATTTCAAATGTTAGTGTCAGTCGATCTCAAATGAGGGTGGTGGCATTTCTGGATCCTGTTTATTTATTGTTTCTTCTTTGTGTTTTAGAGCTTTAACTTGTATTTGTGGATGCAGCGACAAACTGTTTTCACAGACAATGGTTTTCAGAAGTGTTCCTGAGCCTGTGCAGTGATTTCCACTACAGAATCATGTCTGTTTTTAAAGCAGTGATGAGGGCCTGAAGATCATGGCCAGCAAATACTGGTTTTTGGCCTTGTACCTTACATACAGAGATTTCTCCAGATTCTCTGAATCTTTTAATAATATTATGTACTGTAGATGATGAAAAGCAAAAGTTCTTTGCTATTTTATGTTGAGAAACGTTATTCTTGAATCGTTGCACTATTTGATCATGCAGTCTTTCACAGAGTGGTGAACCCCTCCTCATTTTTACTTCTGAAAGACTCCGCCTCTTGGAAATTATACCCAATCATGTTATTGACCTGTTGCCAATTAACCACCAGGTGTTTTAGCATTACACAACTAGTACAATTATGCAGAATTTTAGAATCACCTTCTTGCTACATGCGCTTCAATTAACTTTGAAAACAGCCAATGATTCCTAATTCTAGGGCTGGGCAATTTAACAATAAATCGTTATCGTGATAAATTACATCATAATGCAATTCAATATGGTTTTCTGAAGTTCTTTTTTTCTCTGGTAAAAATATTTTCTCAATAAAAATATTTATTGTGAAGCATCGTTTTTAATGAAAATTAGTATAGTAATATTACATTTTTTTTGCGATATTGCCCATCTGTACCTAATTCAGAATGCCATATTTATAAAATAACATTTCATGATTACATTTCGTGGTTACAGCAGCACGGAATTCGCTAGTAGGACAGGATGGTGCCGTTTAATATCTGCTATTAACAGTGTGCGATACATCCACCTGCATATCGGCAGGTACTACACACTTTCTACACTTTCTACACGAGATTTTCGTAAGTTTGCCAATGTTTACGATTAAGGGTGTATATCACATCACCCAGATCTTCAGCAGCACGCAGGAGTAAAAGGAAGAATCATGTGTCATTCAGACTTGCAGCATTTTACCATCATATGCACGTTCACCGCGGATGCTGCGTCGCTTTTGCGCAGTAGTATGCTTTGCAGCTTCTGTCGAGCAGTGTGCTTTTACTAAACTCTCATGTAGAAAGCCAATGTGTAGTATCAGATGATATCAGATAATGTGTTGCTTACAGCGGAAGTTAGACGGCGCCACCTTGTGTTCCTATCGAAAATTACCAAAAAAGTGCTAAAATTCAAAGTCTGAATTGTGCATAAAAAAAGACGCGCCCCTGTTCAGTGCAAACGGCCTTGAATGCATATGGTAAAGATGACGAGGCCTGAAATGACTACAACTCGGGCTCTTTGTATAGACAATTCAATACACCAGAAACACACAAATACAAAAATTATGTGTAATTTTGTCATTATTATTCAAGACATCACCACGCCCCCTGAGCCCAAGCTTACACCCATAGGGCATCATAAGAAGGTGACTCTTTAAAAGCAGCAGCCCTGGCTTTCAAAGGGCTGGAAATACCTGAGTATGCCATGCAGATCACTTCAAATTTGATGACGTTTGTATCAATGCTGTGGTTAACTGGGCTTATTCCAGCAGCTTGTAAAGCTGACCCGGCCAGCTGCAGGCTGTGGGCTGATCCTCAGGCGCCTGCTCTTTCTATGAATGGAGACTTTATAATCGGGGGGATTTTTTCGATTCATTTCTACATGAGTTCAGAGCAGAACACCTACACCAGACAACCACTACAGCTACAGTGCTCGGGGAGGTCTGTGAGTGTGAATAGTTGGAGAAAACATTACAGAGGAATGATTATTGTCAAAATGCCACTGATTTACAGTGATGCGCTACTTGTCGAGTTAATGACATCTGAAAATATTTGGTAAAATAATAAAACTGATTTTGTGAAAATGTGTTTTTTATATCTTATGTTTCTATCAGTATGAACTTCAGGGAGCTGCGCTTCGCTCGTGCCATGGAATTCGCCATCCACGAGATCAACAACAGAACGGATCTCTTGCCCGGAATCACGTTAGGATACCAGATACGCGACTCGTGCGGTGCAGTGCCGATGGCTATTAAACTTGCATTACTGTTGGCAAACGGCATGGAGCCATTTTTCAATGATACTGATTCCTGTTCAAAATCTGCAGCCGCTGCTGTTCCTGCTCTCGTGGGAGATTCTGCATCAACCCCCTCAATTGGCATTGCCAGAATGCTGGGTCTTTTTGGAATTCCACAGGTGATTAAAGCGCTGCATAAAATGGTGCAATATTAAAAATCATTTGTGTTTATTAATAACTGAAAAACAATAGTATGTCCCATAAATAATTCAATCAGCTCTTTCTTCTTGTTTTCTATGCTAAATAACAGGTGAGTCACTACGCAACCTGCGCATGTCTGAGCGATAAACGTCAGTACCCTGCCTTCTTCAGGACCGTGCCTAGTGACCACCATCAGGCGGCAGCCCTAGCGAAAATAGTCAAGCATTTCGGCTGGACATGGATTGGGGCAGTGCGCAGCGACACAGACTATGGAAATAATGGAATGGCCTTGTTTCTAAAGGCTGCGCAAGAGGAGGGCATCTGTGTGGAGTACTCCGAGTCCTTCTACAGAACACAACCGCGCAGTAAACTGGAGAGAGTGGCAAACGTCATCCGCAGATCAACAGCCCGGGTAATAGTAGCGTTTGTTCTCGAAGGCGAATTGAGGCTTCTGTTGGAAGAACTGTCAAGACAGCCGCCGCCTCCTCTTCAGTGGATCGGCAGCGAAGCGTGGATCATAGATCCCGAATTTCTGCGCTTTAACATGTGCGCTGGTGCGATAGGATTTGGGATCCCCCGCTCAGTGATTCCAGGTCTTCGCGAGTTTCTTCTGGATCTCTCTCCAGAACAAGCACTGAAATCGCCTCTGCTGACGGAGTTTTGGGAGCGCTCGTTCAGCTGTAGCCTAAAAAGCTCATCAGTGGCCGCGCGGAAATGTGACGGCAGCGAGGATATCCGCGCGCTGCAGAACCCATATACAGACACGTCGCAGCTTCGCGCGACTAACCTCGTGTACAAAGCTACGTATGCCATAGCGCATGCCATCCACGGTGTTATCTGTAATGACACGCAGTGTGACATGAGCGCTAAATTCGCATCATGGCAGGTATTGAAAAGATTTATTTAGAAACAGCCACTAGCTTAACTTATAACACGAATCAGCATGATTTCGTTGTATATATTGTATAAACTAAAAGAAATCTTTTTCAAGTAGGCCATTTGGGCTATTTTATCGTTTCGGAAGCACACGGGTTACATTGTTCTTTTATCTTAATTTGAACTTTTTTTCACCACCAATAACAATCTGTTTACGACCTTAAGTCATTTGTATCACCACTGACAAGTACGTTGTGCAAATATTATCATTATTACAATTTACCCAATTGCCCATATTAACACAGCAAATAGAAAAGATAACATAGCAGTATTTTTTTTTTTTTTTTGTAAATTGTAGATATTCTTTTTTTAAAAAATCAAAATCTGTGAAATCAGTGCTCTGACGTGCAACTTTTCATGCAAAAAATGAACCAAAATCACCATATTAAAATGTCAAAGTGTTATCATAAATTATTGCTGATCTATTTAGGAAAGGAACAAACAATAATCAAACGGACTTATTCCGATTTTGAGTTCTTTTTCATGGTTTCAATTTATTTGGACAGCATTTTTCACAAGAACGATAGAATAGCCTATGTACTCAATCACAATGATTATTATCATGTCAACATTCATTAGTGATATTTTTTAGAAAATGCATTCAAACAATTGATAGTTCAAAATCACAGTTTTTCAAATTATATGTTCCACTGCAGATACTCGACCAGCTCAAGAGAGTGAACTTCACTACAAACAATGGTTTTCAGGTGTCGTTTGATTCCAGTGGTGATCCTGTGGCCGTCTACGAGCTCATAAACTGGCAGTTTAAGAAAGATGGTGGTTTGAGTTTTGTCCCTGTGGGCCACTATGACTCATCCAGACCAAGAGGCCAGGAGCTCAGTATGAGCAGAGCTATCATCTGGATGGAGGGACAGACCGAGGTACAGTACTAGACTTACAGTAGTCATTGACTATACAGTGTTAAACCTGACAAGTCAGCGGAACTCAAAATAATTAAGGCAATCAACTAAATTAATTGTTTATGAATCTCACTTTTAAACGGTTTTAAAAAGGCAACTTGCATTAAAACAAGATCAAGTCCATAAAATAAGTTAAAAGTTCATATACAGTACATGTTTAGGGTGAGTTTTGTATTTACATAATATGTTACAGACTGAGATATGCCTATTACTCATTGCAGTAATTCCAACTCAAAATTACATGAGTCACTACAGAAACACTTTGTGGCCGCTGATTGCCTTCAATGAATTGAGTACCAATAACGAAAAACATGATATTAATGAACATACAATGAAAACACTTAAATTATATTTACCCTGTGCTTTCCTATAAACACCACATGATAAAATCTCTGGACTGTACTTTACATAACAAACAATAGACTACAAAACAATCAGGATCAAGAGGGGTTTCATTGCTCTTTGGGTGCATCTTAGCCATCTAAACAGTGGCCACAGCCAAGAATTTAGCCAGAAATTTAGCATAAAGATACGTGTTTTAAACTCCAGTTAACTTTATTTAATGACTCCTACAAAAAAAAATAAATAAATAAATAAAATAAAGCCAATTAAGAGAAACCAGCAAAGCACTGAAACTTCTTTCTGACTATGTTGACAGAGGTAAAAATGAATTCAAACATCATTGTAATGTCAGGTAATCTAACATGTATAATTTTAGTTAAAGATTCAAATATAACAAAAATAACAAATTTCACAAACTCAAATAAGAAAACAATTTGATGAACACTCAATATGTGTACTTTATTATAACTTTGAATACCTTTCCTTCACTTAATCCAATTAATGATTGAGCGAAGGGGTAGCGGTATCTAGGGTGACATTATTTGAATGATTCGTTATAAATGCTCTATAGAGGGCAATTTTACATTTTATTTGCATTCTACTAATTAACTAATAAAATGTCCTTCTTTGTCCAAACACTAACCCTAAGCTTAACCATAACAGAAAATCTGACCCCAAGTCTATTCTTAAGGTTAAACTTGGTACTAATACTAGCCGTAACACTTTTGAGAATCAATTAACTAATCTACTTAAGAGTTTCCAAGCAACGTAAGCTCATTGCTAGTTGATGGTAATTAGCATTGACAAAACTAGATAAAAAAGAAAACATCACATACATACATGCATTTTGTTTAAAAAAGAAAAGAAATTGTTTAACATGCTTAATATGGGTACTTTGTAATAACTGTTGAGAATATTTTGTTTTTCTCACTCTTTTAGGTGCCAAGATCTGTGTGCAGTGAGAGCTGTCCTCCAGGAACCAGGAAGGCTGTGCAGAAAGGAAAGCCAGTCTGCTGCTATGACTGTATACCATGCGCAGAAGGAGAGATCAGCAACAAGACAGGTGGGTGTCACCAGTGCAGTGGACATTTCTCTAGGGACAGTCATAGTTTAGTTTTTCTTTATTCTCTTTCCAAAATAAGGCTCTGAATATGATTTTTAATCTCTTAGACTCATTGAAGTGTGTGCACTGCCTTCCTGATTTCTGGCCCAATGCCAAGCATGATAGATGCCTCCCCAAGCCTGTGGAGTTCTTGTCCTGGGACGACACTCTGAGCATCATCCTGACAGTGTTCTCCATCGCTGGGGCCTTCATAGCTGTATGTGTGACTGCTGTTTTCTATAAAAACAGAACTTCTCCCATCGTCCGAGCCAACAACTCAGAGCTGAGCTTCCTGCTGCTCTTCTCACTGACTCTGTGTTTTCTCTGCTCACTTACTTTCATTGGTCGGCCCTCTGAGTGGTCCTGTATGCTGCGCCACACAGCGTTTGGGATCACCTTCGTCCTCTGCATCTCCTGTGTTCTGGGGAAAACAATAGTGGTGTTAATGGCCTTCAGAGCTACACTTCCAGGCAGTAATGCCATGAAATGGTTTGGGCCTCCACAGCAGAGACTCAGTGTTCTCACCTTCACTCTCATACAGGTCCTTATTTGTGTTCTTTGGTTGACAATATCTCCTCCTCTCCCCTTCAAAAATCTAAATCACTACAAAGAAAGAATAATCCTGGAATGTGGATTAGGTTCAGCTGTAGGGTTCTGGGCTGTGCTGGGTTATATAGGATTTCTGGCTCTCTTGTGTTTTATTTTGGCTTTTCTAGCACGGAAGCTGCCTGATAACTTTAATGAAGCCAAGTTCATCACATTCAGCATGCTCATATTCTGTGCAGTGTGGGTTACCTTTATCCCAGCTTATGTCAGCTCTCCTGGAAAGTTCACTGTAGCTGTAGAGATATTTGCTATTCTGGCCTCAAGCTTTGGTTTGATTATCTGTATTTTTGCTCCCAAATGTTTCATAATCATTTTTAGGCCAGAGCAAAATACCAAGAAAAACCTTTTGGGAAAAGGATCCACCAAGGCCCTTTGAGACCCTCACAGAAATTGTAACTGTAGCACTGTTTAGCACCGTATATAAAATGTGCTGAATTCTGTTTAGGTTTATGTGTATATAGTACAGCATCTTCGCCGATACATAATTAAATAATGTTTTACATTTTAATGTGTAAATATAGTAGCATGATCAAGAAAGGTTCTGCATTCAGGGCTTTTTTTTTACTCCAGATTTTATTTTCTGAATTTATTCTGACATTGACTCTTATTTTTAATCACAGGGCTAGTATTTATTCACTGTCTTTAAGCATTACATCTAGAAGAACTGTGTCAGTCGAGAGCTGGAAGGCTTACAGCAAACATGAGCTGAAGTAGAGCTAACCGTTGACCTAAAGCCTTTTTTTTCTTTACTGCATAGCTGTGACTGAACACAGTCATTAATAAACAAAGAACACAATATATGCATGAGCTTTGTCTCTTGTAATATCAGTAAACGCTACATGTAGTGTCAGAATAAGAAAGATACTGTCTCAACAGGAGAGGTTCAGAGTATTCGGCTGTTAGCATCTTAGCTAAGCTACATGGCTTACGGAGGATGAGAGATTACATTTGTGTAACAATTAAGGAAGACAGGAGTGAGTTTGCATCTTCTAGGGCACCACAGCTCCTTGAGGTGAGTCATACAGAGAGCCGTTAGAGGGCAGCAGGGGGAAGAAAAGCCAAGCTTGGCAGCATTGGTTGGCCCAGAGGTTAGCTGCCATAGCGTGCACTTTCCCACACGCTCCATGTCAGTGGAAAATCTGGTGCAGATGTAGTTAGATGGTGGCGCTCATGAGCAGCATTTAGCTGGCAGTCCTGTAGAGAAGTCAAATGTTTAATGTGCTAGGGCTTATCTGCTGGCTATCCCCGCAGCCATACTGGCAGTGGCACAAGTCTACTGCCACTGCTGGATATGCGGCCAGCCAGGACATTTAGCTAGGGCTAGTACTTTGAGGGAAAGAATGCTGGCCTTTTCAAAAATAACAGCACAGGCAGAGAACAAACAGTGGCTGAGGTGGGGTGAATGTACATATCAGACTTCTGCCACAATTCCATTGACATTGAAGTTCCATACACTGCTCTGGTGGACAGAGGGTTGACAGTTACAGTGGCCCAGCCAGAAGTGGTGCATGCTAGGTTCAAGCTGAAAGGCACAATGCTTCATCTTCACATTGTAATAATGGTTGATGCTGACAGTCAGGGGCATGAAGGGCATTTAGTCTGGATAGCTGAAGTCCAAGACATGCATTCTAGGCCTAGACTTTTAAAGAGCAACAGGTGCCAAATGGACCTAAAGAGTACGATGCTGCATTTCAGAGGTGGCGATGACAATGAATCCACATAATACGCAGTGGATAGTGCAACACACAGCTTCAGAACTGGATGGAGCATCTCCGAGGGCAGAGTGTGCTGTCAGGTCAAGCACAGCATGGCTTTTCATGGGCGGCAAACACAATCAGTACCCCTGCCAGCATTGACAACATAGCAAACATTGAAGAAAGCATGCCTCGTGGTATTCTCTCTGCTCCAGCGCAGCGAGAAGATGCCAAACAGTTGGTGTTTTCCAGCACCACTTCAGATTCCCCAGCCAGGGGAGTCCCCAATCCTAGTACACCCTAGACACATTTAAAAACGATGGTTCTTCAAGTGTTCTTTAGTAAAAACATGGCTCTGTATAGATCCATGAACACTCAAAGAACCCTTAGCATGATTAAACGGGTCTCTGCTTTGTGAAAGTGTTCTTCAAATTAATGGAGAATGTGCTCTAGATTGTTCTACCTTTTTGAAAAAGGTTCTACTTAGCACCAAAAAGGGTTTTTTCTGTAGTAAAGAGCCCTTGAAAAATCATCCTTTTCAAGAGTGCGGTAGAAGAGGGTGGCCCCCAGTTTGATTCATAGACTTTATAGTCCTCAGTGGCCGAGGAATTTTGGTAAGGGTAAGGTGGTGTAGCTTGTTCAAGAAAAGTTCTGCATGTTTATTTTGGATACTGTTCTCCAGCAGAAATTCTCCAGGTTTATTCTGACAAAGACTCTGATTGTGAAGGCGGGTATAGTTTTTATTCACTATGTTTATGCATGAGGACAGCAAGAATGCTGGGAAAGTTAAGAAATGGAAGTGTGAGTTTGCAGACAGGAGCTGATTGGAGAGCTAGCTGTTAGCCTAAGGCTAAGGCTCATGGTATGCACGCACCCTCCAAAGGAACTATTTATGTTGTTTAATATTGTTTGTTAGTTTAGGCGGCTTGTGTTGTTTAGTGTCAGGGGCTTTGTGTTTTGTGTGAGAGGGGGGGTCATTGGCAGCGTGAAGTGTGTGGCTAGTGGTGACTCATTGTTCTGTATGTGCCTTTCTGCAAGCATGTTTAATAAAAGAGTACTTTTCATAGCAGAAGTAATGCCTCTCGTTTCTTATTCTCTGCTAATGTCACAACATGTATATGAACGTTTTTCACATGCACCACTGAAATGATAATAATAGACAATAATGTATAATGTTGAATTAAACTACATTGTTCATAAAATGCTTTTAGCACTTTTACAACCCTGTTTCCAGAAACGTTGGTACGCTGTGCAGAATGTAAATAAAAATAGTATGTAATGATATGCAAATCATTTAAACCATATTTTTAAAGGGAAATACTACAAAAAACAACATATTGAATGTCGAAACTGAGAAATTTGATTATTTTTTGAAAAATATATGCCCATTATGACTTTGATGCTGACAACACGTTTCAAAAAAGTTGGGACGGGGGCATGTTTATCACTGTGTTTCATCATCTCTTCTTTTAACAACACTCTGTAAGCATTCGGGAACTAATGAGACAAGTTGCTGTAGTTTTAAAAGTGAAATGTTTTCTTCTTCTTGTTTGATAGAAGATTGCAGCTTCTCAACAGTTTGGGGTCACCTTTGTCATATTTTTTGTTTCAGAATGAGCCAAATGTTTTCAGTGGATGACAGGTCTGGACTGCAGGCAGGTCAGTTTAGCACCTGGACTCTTTTAATACAGAGCTATGCTGTTGTAATACATGCAGAATGCATTTCTTGCTAAGGCCTTCCCTTAAAAAGATGTCATCTGGATGGCAGCATATCTTGCCAAAACATGTACATATCATTCAGCATTAATGGCACCTTCACAGATGTGCATGTCACCTATGCCATGTGCAGTAATGCACCTCTATACCATCATGAATACTGGCTTTTGAACTGCACTGATAACTAGCTGAGTAGTCTTTAGGCTGGCGGACACAACGTCCATGAATTCCAAAACAAATTTCAAATGTTAGTGTCAGTCGATCTCAAATGAGGGTGGTGGCATTTCTGGATCCTGTTTATTTATTGTTTCTTCTTTGTGTTTTAGAGCTTTAACTTGTATTTGTGGATGCAGCGACAAACTGTTTTCACAGACAATGGTTTTCAGAAGTGTTCCTGAGCCTGTGCAGTGATTTCCACTACAGAATCATGTCTGTTTTTAAAGCAGTGATGAGGGCCTGAAGATCATGGCCAGCCAATACTGGTTTTTGGCCTTGTACCTTACATACAGAGATTTCTCCAGATTCTCTGAATCTTTTAATAATATTATGTATTGTAGATGATGAAAAGCAAAAGTTCTTTGCTATTTTATGTCGAGAAACGTTATTCTTGAATTGTTGCACTATTTGATCATGCAGTCTTTCACAGAGTGGTGAACCCCTCCTCATTTTTACTTCTGAAAGACTCCGCCTCTTGGAAATTATACCCAATCATGTTATTGACCTGTTGCCAATTAACCACCAGGTGTAGCATTACACAACTAGTACAATTATGCAGAATTTTAGAATCACCTTCTTGCTACGTGCGCTTCACTTAACTTTGAAAACAGCCAATGATTCCTAATTCTAGGGCTGGGCAATTTAACAATAAATCGTTATCGTGATGAATTACATCATAATGCAATTCAATATGGTTTTCTGAAGTTCTTTTTTTCTCTGGTAAAAATATTTTCTCAATAAAAATATTTATTGTGAAGCATCGTTTTTAATGAAAATTAGTATAGAAGTATTATTTTTTTTTTTGCGATATTGCCCATCTGTACCTAATTCAGAATGCCATATTTATAAAATAACATTTCATGATTACATTTCGTGGTTACAGCAGCACGGAATTCGCTAGTAGGACAGGATGGTGCCGTTTAATATCTGCTATTAACAGTGTGCGATACATCCACCTGCATATCGGCAGGTACTACACACTTTCTACACTTTCTACACGAGATTTTCGTAAGTTTGCCAATGTTTACGATTAAGGGTGTATATCACATCACCCAGACCTTCATCAGCACGCAGGAGTAAAAGGAAGAATCATGTGTCATTCAGACCTGCAGCATTTTACCATCATATGCACGTTCACCGCGGATGCTGCGTCGCTTTTGCGCAGTAGTATGCTTTGCAGCTTCTGTCGAGCAGTGTGCTTTTACTAAACTCTCGTGCAGAAAGCCAATGTGTAGTATCAGATGATATCAGATAATGCGTTGCTTACAGCGGAAGTTAGACGGCGCCACCTTGTGTTCCTATCGAAAATTACCAAAAAAGTGCTAAAATTCAAAGTCTGAATTGTGCATAAAAAAAGACGCGCCCCTGTTCAGTGCAAACGGCCTTGAATGCATATGGTAAAGGTGACGAGGCCTGAAATTACTACAACTCGGGCTCTTTGTATAGACAATTCAATACACCAGAAACACACAAATACAAAAATGATGTGTAATTTTGTCATTATTATTCAAGACATCACCACGCCCCCTGAGCCCAAGCTCACACCCATAGGGCATCATAAGAAGGTGACTCTTTAAAAGCAGCAGCCCTGGCTTTCAAAGGGCTGGAAATACCTGAGTATGCCATGCAGATCACTTCAAATTTGATGACGTTTGTATCAATGCTGTGGTTAACTGGGCTTATTCCAGCAGCTTGTAAAGCTGACCCGGCCAGCTGCAGGCTGTGGGCTGATCCTCAGGCGCCTGCTCTT